ATGTCCCTTAAATTTGTCTTTGATTGATACATACGATATATAGAGGTCTCCACCATGAAAATCTAATTAATTAGAATGTTTTGTTGGTTGATTTAATTGATTTATCTTTTAAGTTACTCATTAATTGACACATATAATTTTCAAAATGTCTTCTCAATATATATAAGGTTGTATATTGGGCTAAAATCTCCTTGGGCTTTTAGGCTATTTGTATAAAGACAATTAGTGGGTTACGTAGGATGTGTATATTAGAAGTCATTAGGATTTTATAATTTTTTAATTGTTTGATTAATTATCATCTCTAAGCTTTCGCTGTAACGTTCGTAAATTTGAAGGATTCTTTTTTACCAATATGGAACAACAATGGTATGTTTTTTTCCCTCAGAATCCCTTTTCTATGTATGGTTTTGTATAGCTGTGAAGATCCAATCTTAATTTCTTTGAATCTTGAAACTCTTTCTATCTTTTGGATATTTGGTTTTTGACAGCAAAATCAGTGGTGAGAGTTTTGAGGAATGGAGATGTTGTGAATGAGGACAGAATCAGTGAGTTGCCTGAAGTTTTGCTTCTCCATATATATCTTCACTTCCAACAAAAAAGGTCATTACCACGAATGTGTTGTCTAAAAGTTGGAGATCTCTTTGGAAACTGGTTCCAAATCTTAAGTTTGATACTTGTCATCATCACCTAGAATTTTCAGAAGATGTTTACAGGGTTCTTAGCTCACATAAAGCTCCGTTTCTAGAGAGTTTGCATTTGCGAATTGAAGATAAGTGTGATGCGTTGAAGATTGCAGTATTGATTGGAATTGCATTTACGCACAATGTGCGTAAACTAGTCCTCGATATTAACCGTAGGAAGGAAGGGACAGTAAGATTTCCGAGTGTTTTGTTTAGCTGTAATAATACACTTGAGATCTTGAAACTCAAGCATCGCATTCTTTTAGACTTTCCTTCTCGGGTTTGCTTGAAGTCCCTTAGAGAGCTGCACCTTCATTATGTGGTATTCAAAGACGAAGAATCTGTTTGCAAGCTTTTACGTGGCTGCCCTAGTCTTCAAGATTTGGTCGTGAGACGAACAGGCAATATCGGATTGNAGACTTTCACTATTGCGGTGCAATCATTACAGAGACTAACCATAGAAGATTATTGTCCAGGAGAAGGTGAGGGAGGCTATGTGATAAATGCCCCTTCTTTGGAATACTTGAACATTACAGGGTTCAAGGGGTTTGAGTTTTGTATGATTGAGAATGCTCAAGAGCTCGTTGAGGCAAAAATCATTGACGTTACTAAAATCTCGCGGTGGCTTTTTTTTTTTCTTGCAATTGGGCTAACATTATTTTGTATACTAATGTTTGATCCCATGCACAGATCAACTATCCTACCGGTTATATCTTCTATCAATTGGTATATTTGGAGCTAGGTACAAGAAAAAGAAAGTGGTGGAACCTACTTTCTCTCATGCTCGGTAGTTCTCCTAAACTTAAAATCCTCAAACTCATCAACGTAAGCAATTTCATTATTTGTTTTCTTCTTCCATAGATGGCCAATTAAGATACTTTGATGATATAATTTCATATTAATTGTATTGGGCTCAGCCATTTTTGTATGGTAGAAAAGCTCCTCAGGTGGGCTGGGCATGGGATCAACCGAAATGTGTACCGGAATTTTTGATGTTCCATCTTGAAACATTTGTGTGGACAAGATATGAATGGCATCGAGAAGATGAGAAAGAAGTTTCCACATACATTCTAGAGAACGCAAGACGGTTGAAAAAAGTATATTTCACCACAAAATTCATCAAACCAGAAGAGCTCGAAAAGTTGGAAAAGAGAGGTGAGATGCTCAAGGAGTTGGCTAGTGTGGTCAGGGCTTCAAATTCATGTGACATAAAGTTCGAATCCGAGTAATTCCTTGAACTTTACTATGCTGTTTTGGCCATTGGGAAATTTTACATTTCAACTTCAGCTGTCAATTCAATGGCAGATTTTTATGACATTTTGAGGTGTATATTTAAGCATATGCACAAGTTTTTATGTATTTAGCTGCAGCAGAGACAATTTGTTTTAGCTATTACATCTTCAATTTCTCAAACGTTTTGAAATATAAGTGCAAATCAAGAATTATCGCATCATGCTTTTTCCTTTGTGATAAAGAATAAGAGCGTTTCACCTGAAGTGTTCTAGAAATAACATTAATCAAAGTAAACATAATTTAAACAATCTAACAAGGATACAACTTGAAAAGGGAAGTACTCAAAACCTGTGAGGCTGCATGCTTTGTTATTTATAGGATCGGTAATGGCGTTTGGTTCTCAGTTTTGGCTTAATAATTGGACAGGTTTGGGGTATGTTTTTATATATTCTCAAACTGCTCCTTGTGGCAACGGTCTACGAAGTTTTGAAACAAAGAAACTCATCGCGCCAAATCTCAAGCACTCATCAAACTAAAGACATATGTACCAATCAAACAGTCGTAAGCAAGCTTGCATCTTTGGAGGTCTCCCCAAGCACTGCCGCAGCTGAAACGCCACTCATGAATTGGCTCTTATTCTTATCAAAACTAAGCTTTAATCCTCAAAACAATATATATTCCTCTGTAAGGTTTATTAGTTTTAGAATAGATGTAACCTTTTTATGAAAAAAAAAAAGAGAGAGGATAGAGCATAAACAACTTTAGTGTGTCTTTTTTAAAATTAATTGTCTTTCATTCTAAATGTTGAATCTAAAGTGTATTTGTTTTTGTTAGACAGTTATACAATTCTATGTGTATAAAGCTACATACTATTCTGAAAGTTTTTTTTTTTCTTTGGAACTCTCAGCAAAAAAAAAACTGTCCCACTCCTCATCATGGAGATTTCTTTCACTTCTCTTT